GCATTGCATTGCACAGCAGCAGCTGCCAGGAGAGCCCGTCGCAGGGCTCGGGAGACATGAACACAGTGAGACGCAGAACAGGCAGGCCACAGGGTAGAAGAGATGGCGGGGACATAAAGAACAGACCCAAGGAATCCAGGTAGAGCAGAGAAGTGACTACATACCACATCAAGGTGGACAGCCATAACGCGGGAAGGCAGAAGCTGCAGATCCTGCACTAACTCCCTGCCTACCTAGCTGCTGCGGATTTGTTAGATGCAAAACCCCCAAACCCACTTGACACCCTCACAGAGCACCCCCTTAACCCTTTTTTTGTCTAACACTTCTGTGCCACCACGTGAGAACATCCGAAGCTGAAAGCAGAGAGCAGAAGTGATCCTCACAGACTTGGAGAAGCCCCACCAGCTCCAAGGAGAGGACTTCCCCTTAAGATGCCTTGGCTTCATCCCCGACAGGACAGCTCGGTGCCTCCTGCGAGACCGGGGGTCCAGGAGGGCCCTGGCTCTGCTTGGTGCAAACACGTTGTTCCTGCTCCCATTGAGGCTGGGCATCGCTCACTTGCCGGGGGCTCTTCTTGCTGTTCTCCTTCTGAGGTGGCTGGCGGCTCTTCTCCGGTGGGGAAAGCTCTGCATTCTCATGGCAGGGGCTGGATTCATCTCTCCGGGATGGCTTGGGACGGCTCTCGTCCACAGCTTGCCAGTCCAGCTCACAAGCTTCCCGTGGCTCTGGAGCCTGGGACAGAGGTGGGCAGCTCTTGGCCTCTGTGTCCTCACGCTCACTCACCTGGCAGCTGGATTCAGGCTCCTGCGGTACCCCCTCCCTGGCAGCTTTTGATCCATCTTCCTGGGGCTGATCCTCCTTCTCTTCTGTGTCAGGCATCTTGGGGTGCTGGCTATCCCTCCTGTCCTCATTGGGCTCTGCCCGGCCATGGTCATCCTTAACACCATCCGGCTCGGAGGCAGAAACCAGTTGAGCCCCTTCCTTCACCCCTGTTTCAGACCTCTCCTGTGGCTCATCGAGATCCCCTGTGTTTTCCTGGGAGCTGGAAGCTGGTGTGCCCTCCTGCCGTGGTGCTTCAGGCTCCCCTGGTTCTCTCTCATCGCTCTGGGCTCGTGACTCTGGCTGGCTGCTCCGGTCACACAGCACTGCTGGTGGCTGGGGTGACACATAGCACTTCTTCACATAGACAGGCTGCCCCAGGTCGTGGGGCTGGTGGCAGACAATCTCGTAGGTTGTAGCGTCAGGATCATTCAAATTCTGGATCACGTGGATCAAGTATGCAATGGTCTGAGGCTCGCAGGACTGAGGGAGGACCCGCACCGCTGGCTGTACATTGGGCTCAGCAGGGATATAAAGGACCCTCATGTCAGTGACAGATGTCTGCTCTCCTGGTGGGCAGAGGTCTCTGTTATCAACCTCCACGGTTTGGTAGAGGCTCTTCTCGTGCAGTCGTCCTTCATCCTCTTGTGTCCAGCACCTGTTAGGCTCACGTGCTTCTTCCTCGTGTAAAAGTCTGTGGTTCCTCCGTTCTTGGTCATCTGAGGGCTCGCAAGCGGTTCTGTGACATGGCTCATGTGACCTTTCATCGACTTCATGCTCGCAGGGACGGTCCCTCCTGTCCACGTCGTCACGCGGCTCCAGTTCCCGGGACACGCGCTGGATCCTCACGTCTGCTTCTGCTGCTGCGGTCTCTCGTGTCCTTTCATACCTCAGTGAGTCACGTTGTCTCCTGCCATCGTCCTCAGGCTCACAGGGACGGTCCCTCCTGTCCACGTCGTCACGCGGCTCCAGTTCCCGGGACACGTGCTGGATCCTCACGTCTGCTTCTGCTGCTGCGGTCTCTCGTGTCCTTTCATATCTCAGTGAGTCACGTTGTCTCCTGCCATCGTCTTGAGGCTCGCAGGGACGGTCCCTCCTGTCCACGTCGTCACGCGGCTCCAGTTCCCGCGACACGCGCTGGATCCTCACGTCTGCTTCTGCTGCTGCGGTCTCTCGTGTCCTTTCATATCTCAGTGAGTCACGTTGTCTCCTGCCATGGTCTTCAGGCTGGCAGGAACGGTCCCTCCTGTCCACGTCGTCACGCGGCTCCAGTTCCCGCGACACGCGCTGGATCCTCACGTCTGCTTCTGCTGCTGCGGTCTCTCGTGTCCTTTCATACCTCAGTGAGTCACGTTGTCTCCTTCCATCGTCTTCAGGCTGGCAGGAACGGTCCCTCCTGTCCACGTCGTCGCATGGCCCTAGTTCCCTGGACACACGCTGGATCCTCACGTCTGCTTCTGCTGCTGCGGTCTCTCGTGTCCTTTCATACCTCAGTGAGTCACGTTGTCTCCTTCCATCGTCTT